AAAATTATTTTCTAATTTAAGAGACATGGAGTAAGACTTGTTGATCAAGTCTCAACAGTACCTACTTAAAAAGTTAGAATAAACACAACTTTTAGGATAGCCCATTTCCGTTCCAGTCTACCACTTAATAGGAGTGCTTAGGCAGGTCATTTTGATGGTTTGAAAATTTATAATACTATCTTGAATCTCACAAAGACCTTTTGCAACTTTTTTTTACCAATTAGAAATCAAGGAAAGTCCATTTTAAGAAATAGAATGATACTACCCCTCCCATGTCACTGGGTCACTAGCAGTCTCTCAAATCATTCCTCAGTTCCCAAATTCCCAACAACTTAAGTTAGAAGCTCCTTACCCTGTAAGACATTATACCTCAATTGAACAGAAGATGCCATGATATTGTACTTGGGGTACGAGACAAACTACACAAACTTTCTTCTACTGGCATCAGTAGACTAATGTCTAGGTATGCACAGGACTGCCTTAAAAAGTGATTAAAGAGTATTTCAATTCATTAAAGAAAACAAAGCTTAGAAATTACCTGCTTCTCCAACTACAAGGTGGAATCTTAAATAGAATAAGTTATACTCTATGTATGTATAACTTGCCAAAATTATTCATTCTACTGTCATATATAACTAAAAAGAACAAATAAAAAATAAAAATTTAAATTAAAAAAGAGATTACATGCTTAGTCAAATAAGTTTAACTTTAGTGCTTAGTGAATTTTTAATTGGCTCCTGTTACTGGTAAATACAACACTTTGTTTTTGGTGTAGAAACCAAATAAATCAGGTTTTCCCTTGAGAATACAATGTTCATTTGTGTGTAAAGTGCCAGTTTATTTATAAACTATTTAAATAAACTTTGAAGTCTGCTTGATAGCAGTGAGACTGACATCTCAACTGCTTTATGGTCAGAATTGAAATTTCATCTTGCTGGGTCAAGCTTACTTGAGGGTTCCCTTTCTTAAAACCTGGATCATCACCATTGGTGCTGTGGTGAAGCTGGACAGCCTGCTTACAAAAGCTGAAAAGGACAAGATCTTCCATAAGAATTCAAGTAGCCTGTTTCAAATGTCCTTTCTTTCTAGGTAACACTACTAGCTTATTAATAAACAGGATTGATTCTGATAGCTACACAGTTTTATAGATGTTGTTAATAAACCTTAAGGACAATGGTGTAGCTGGTTGATTCACTTTAGCTGATTTTTTCTGAGGGGGGTGGCATCCAAGGTAAGAGAATTCTCTGTTGGATTCAACACCACTCCAATCTTCTGATACTCAACTACTCTCTTCTCAAAGAAGTTAGTCTTCCCTTCCAGTGAAATATTCTCCATAATGTCAAGTGGATTTTCTACTCTGAAAATCTCGATAGAGCCCAGTTTCAGCATAAGCCTGTCTGCTACAAATTCAATGCACTGCTTCATCAAAGAGCAGTTCATCCCAATGAGCTTCACAGGCAAGGCCTTGGTGAGGAACTCCTGTTCTATCCTAACAAAATTGATAATTACTTTTATCCTCTTCTCCCACAGTGTGTAGCAAGTATTTGAACATTGAGCAGGCAAAATCACTCATCTCTGCTAATAAGTTCATTGGAAAATGTGAGACCAGGCATCAGCCGTCATTTCTTAAGTCAGAATATATTGATGCAAAAGAACCAGAAAAGAAGATTTCTTCCACATTAGCAAAGGCTACATCATGCTCTCCACAAATAGACTTTTTATCCTGATTCCAAATCTGTTTTCTTCTTCACACAAGGCATCATTTCAGTGCCATTGAAGATAAATTCTTTTTCTTTGGAATTTTTAATGTGACAATAAGGAAACTGTATATTACAGAATGTATTTTTCCTATGGCAATTTGGAATCCATAGAAACAGTGGGCTTCTGTAATTTGAATTTCTTGGCTAAATTGCTTCACCAATTTTTCATGTATTATGCCATCACCTGCTAAAAGCCAGAACATGTGCTATAAAATCTCTCTCCTCAAGCTTCAGGGCTTCCCAAGGTTGAATGTTCCTGAAAAGATCTACTTCCTTAACTGTCCAAAAGGAAGCTCAGCGGGTTTTTTTGTTTGTTTGTTTTGTTTTGTTTTTGTTTTTGTTTTTTTCAAAGAGAGAGAGAGAGAGAGGGAGAGAGAATTTTTAATATTCATTTTTGGTTTTTCAGCGGACACAACATGTTTGTATGTGATGCTGAGGATGGAACCCCATCCTCATGCCAGGCGAGCGCGCTACCACTTGAGCCACATCCCCAGCCCAAGCCTCAGCTTTTTTATACATCTGCCAAATATCATGGTATTCTATAGAAAAGAGGACACTGCAGAGTGGGTTTTCTCTCAGTAGTGATTCATCCTCCATGCTGGGGTCAGGTTCTTTGGGCTCCTGGAAGATCCTCCTGGCAGTCTTGTGCACCAGAACTCTGAGTGACCGGTTCTCCTTGGGGGTCACGCTGAGACCCTTCAACAGGGAGAGCTACAGCCACAGCTGCTGCTGTGTGGGATGGTGGCTACTGAAGGGGAGTTGCGGGGAGGCGGACCCAAAGCATGGTGGTGGGGCGGCCTTCAGTGACTGGAGTTGGAGGAGAGAAGAATGCTGGCTCTAGAGCTCTCTCTTTCTCCCCTTCCCCTCCTGCCTCTCCTTCCCTCCC